CTGAAGGACAACTCTCTTGATCCAGCACTAAAAAAAAATCTTGCATCAGAACTAGGACAGCCATTCCCACTTGAGTGCAAATTCCCACAGAAAACCCATTCCTTCGTTCCCTGACCCTTCCTTATGCTGATTTTCCATGTAGTGTGTTCAGCAGCAAACACTGACTCATCATTTGAACCACTTTCTCCATCAAAGCAGCCAAAACTAAGTCAACAAAGGAGGAGTGTGGAAAGAAACACATCAGCTCATTGCTTTAGGAGGCTGAACATTCCCAATGAAAAATGGGAGTGTGAGGACAAAGGACATGCTAACAAATGGGCAAGAGAATGTCCATCTACACCTCCAGAGGGTAACAGGGAGCTGATTCAACCCACAACACCCCGTGCAAGTGCTGCTAAGGCACAGCCCAGCAGAGCTGTCAGATGGGACGTCAGGCAGCACACACAGCACTGCTGGTATCAAGAATGTGCTGAGGAGTCCATTGGCATTGTCAAGCAGCACACACAGCACTGCTGGTATGAAGAATGTGCTGAGGAGTCCATTGGCATCTCTTTAACAGCTCCTTCCCTACAGCAAGGCCAGCTCAAACCTGCACATTCATCACTGCTTGTCCCTCTGGAGCGTTACCCAAAACTCTGATCATCTCTGTGCTACGTGAGGGCTACTCAAATTGCTTTATGACTACCAGAGCTGCAGATCTGATCTGATGGGGGAGCAGCAACTGTACTGTCATACCCTAAGAATTCCTCAACTTGAAGGGCTCAAACTTTCTGTGCTTCTCCAGACAAGCAGTGAGAAGTATTTAGTTGTCAACTGGCTAATTCTCAAGCAGAAAACTGTGTTCTGAGCAACGCTGCCACGACCATGGGTGTCCAGGGAACGCTAATGGACTGCTGACAGGCTCACAGACCTCTGCACTGGCACCAATTAAAAGCACCTCTCAAATGGAACTGGTAGACTTTATCCTGGAGATTGACTGCTTGAGTCAGTTTTATGACTGAGAGAAGCTGACTGTAAGCACTGCTACAAATCACACCTGAACAACTGCTGCACTGTCAAGAGATTGAGAGCCAAACTTCCCAGAGTCAGCAGAGAGGCTCTGTCTGTTGAAACAGGTCACCTCTCCCAAGTTCAAAACCAGCTGATCTTGCTGTTACAAAAGACACTGCACAGAGTTCCAGGGGAAATTAAAATATAAAAATGGTCATGGCCAGAACAGGCTACTCTGGAACCAAACAATATTCAGCCTGAGTAACTACAGGAGTCAGTGAGATGATTTAATATGGAGTTAAGGAACCAAGAGTACCTGTAAGTGAGCACTGTCCAAACAATCCAAGTCATGTGGTTCTCTGGTCACTGTCTGAACACCACCCACATGCACATCCTCAACAGCACTTGCACTTTATAAATAAATGCACCTGTAAATTGCTATTTCCATAACTCCTGTTGAACTGGATCTGGTCACCAGAGGGTACAGTTTGACACTGTGAAGCCTTTTAAGACACTTCCTCACAGGCTTTGCTACAGCAACTACAAGAGAATTTAACTGAAGTCTGGCAAAAATAACCAGGTATGTGACAAATCTTCAGTGTGGCACGAGCATAGAAGCCACACAGCCTCCTGCCTGAGCTTAGCTGAGTGCAAAACATCTTCATTAGGAGGCAATAATTCCCACAAAAAGGCATGGAGGAATTTAGAAATCTGGAATCTTCACTGTGATGAAGAGACTAAGCATCTGAAGTCTTCAGGTGTTTGCCTGCCAAGCATCACTTCATGCTTTGCTGGCACTGCAGCTTCATCGATCCGAAGGTTACAGTTCTTTGTGGTGGGGAGGGAAGATGCAAAACATCTTCATTAGGAGGCAATAATTCCCACAAAAAGGCATGGAGGAATTTAGAAATCTGGAATCTTCACTGTGATGAAGAGACTAAGCATCTGAAGTCTTCAGGTGTTTGCCTGCCAAGCATCACTTCATGCTTTGCTGGCACTGCAGCTTCATCGATCCGAAGGTTACAGTTCTTTGTGGTGGGGAGGGAAGAAAGTCCTTCCCCACTTCATGCTTTGCTGGCACTGCAGTTTCATCGATCCGAAGGTCACAGTTCTTTGTGGTGGGGAGGGAAGAAAGTCCTTCCCTCAAAAGGCTCTTAGTCCATCCAAAAGCCAATGAAATTCTGCTAAAACTTGGGAATTTCACCACTGGGTCTTGCTGCCAAAGGACAGAGTGACAAGGAGTGTCCATCAGGGTGCAGGAATGGTCCATGAGGCTCCATGGCAGCTTCCCTGTCCCTCCTGCCTGTCAGCACTAAAGCATCACTGCAAGGCGAAGGCAGATCATCGTTTTAATGACCTTTTCTTCCCTCACACACAGCACTTGGTCAGAGACAGCCTGAGCCAGGAGAGCAGCCCATTAAACCTCAGAACACTTCATCAGCAAAACAACATTTCCAGAGTACACAGCTTCATTTTCAGGGCAGGTTCTCCTCGCACATCATCACCTCCTGCAAGACTTCACTTTAAGCATGAGCTGCTGAGAAGAATGTGCATTTTTGCTAAGGTTATCTCCTGCTCTCCACACCCCAGCACTGGGTTGGGTTCTGAACTTCAGTCAGAGCTTCTGTGTTGGAGGAAGAAACCTAAGCCTAGATGCTGAATCACCCAGTCTGCTACACATTGGTGCTTCAGCTCAGGGAAGTGGTTTAGAGCCTTCAGCACTGTGACATCTCTCAGCTCCAGCAAAACGAGCAGGACTCAATAAGCCAGAAATCTGACATTTAGTGGCACTTTTTTCCTCGAGAAACCATTTCAAACTTGGGAAGAGCAGCAGGTTTACTACTTCTTTACTTTACTACTACTTTACTACTTCATTTCTTCTGGATGAAGTGGTACACTTTGGACAGCTGTTTGGACTAAAGACACCTGGTAGGGTTTGAATGCTGCCACAATACATGAAAAACAATGTTTGAGAAGCTTATTGTAAATACTTCTGCATTTCCTTGACTTCCACCTCTGTCAAATTAGCCAAATCTGTAATTTTGTACATCTAAAAATGATAGATGAGGTACTGAAGAGAAGCAAGTACCTAGGAATGGCTCAGTACAGAATTTAAGCCTTGCTTCTCTGGTCTCAATCTCATTAGCTTCAGTTTTATCCACAGCTCAGCCTGAAGAACTGGTTTTATTCAGACTGTAACAGTCAAAAGCTGTGGTACTTTTAGTGACTTACCAGATCAACACTAGCAAATCTGTATCACAAAACTCAATTTCAAAAGCTTCAAAATCACATGGAAAAAATCATTTGCCTTTTCAGAACTCAGTTTTCAGTTTGCACACAATTACATCTTGAACATGTCACAACATTTCCCTTTGAAACCATAACCTTGAAACATTCAAAACCATCAAGAACCTGAAGCCCCACCCAGAGCATCCAGATACTGCAGAGAATTGTGACCTGGCAGTCCACAGCAGTTTGGGGTTACACCTAGATGTAGGCAAGACATCCTGAGCTCACTGGTCCTTTCCTTTGAGTCTGGACCAAATGTCTCAATGTAAACCCACTGGAGGAAGCCAGAACAGTCACAATTTTCTGTTCCCCATGTTTGAGGCATACAGAACAGAAGCAAACCCACAGCACTGTACCAGCTGCAACAGAGCAGAACCCAAAGTCTCTAGATCCTTCCCTAGTCCATGAGGATTCTCCCTTGAGAAGTGTTAGGTCTAGGATTTTGGATTGCCTTATATATTTACATATATATAAATATATATATGTGTGTGTATATATATATATATATATATCAAAAGAAATAAAAATGTCACATTCCCAACACCAAGTCAGTTTGTTGTTTTTTTTTGGAAAGTGGTTAATGCAGGAGCAAAAAAGATGCAGTGGTTAAAATGACCCAACATCCCCAGAAGAAATGATATGAAGAACAAGGACATTTTTGGGGTATAAAGTTAGTAGTCAAATTCTCCAAGGACGTCTTTTTGGTTTTGCTTTTTGGTTGCTTTTTTTTTGTTTTATTTTTTTTTTGTTTCCATTTCACAGCCAAATGTTGTGTTTTCCACCACCTCCTTGAGCTAACACTTGAATCTCTGCCAGGGTCCAAATTCAGGTAATTTGTTTTTGCCTCTAACGTCACTTGGTTCTTGGCTACTAACCTTTCATGTTACTCTTGGATTTGTCAGTTTGCTTGCCTGTGGGGGTTTGGGCCTGCTGCCCCTGCCCACTGGAAGAGGCTGCCTGCTGTGCTGCTTTCTGCTTTAACATTGTCCAGTCGAATGTGTAGTCATATTGGTGGTTCAAGGTCCTGCAAAACAGGGAAATGCTTCACTGTAACACATCGTAACTTCCTTAGTGCTAATACCAAGCCTGAAGTCCCAGGACTAGAGGATAACTCTTTTGTAAGCTGCTTTAGAGATTAGGAATGGTATAGAAATGCTAAGTATTACTAACTTAAAGGGATTCTTGAAGGAAGCCCAAATACCATCTAGAGGTGTTTCCTCACTGGTTACATTAAGGTCTGCACTGGTGGGAGCAGCACTTCCTCCCAGCTCACCTCACCACTGAGCTTCTGAGCTTCAAATGATATGTATAATCTCAAGGAGAGGCTGCAGCATTGTACAGCACTGAACCGAAAGTGCTTTGGATTCCAGGAACCTGGAGGGAGACTCCAGGGATCAGCACCAGACTCCAGGGATCAGCACCAGCCCTTCTTTGGACTGATGCTGTTCTCTCCACGAGGCTGAATTTATGTTCAGGTTGCTCTAACAAGCTCAGGGAAGCAGCACTATCCCTCTCCACTGCAATCCATCTCCTGGGCACCACAGTGTCCCATCACCAATTTCCAAACATAAAAACCTTCAAAGACTTGTACCAAGGGGTCAATTCCTTAAGCTCCTTGCAACAGCACCTGAAGCACAGGCCTAGCCCCTTAGGACTGGTGATCACATCACACAGTGCACAAACAAGAATCTTTTTCCTTTAACATGGAATATTGAATATTTTCAGGTCCTTTAAACAGCTTTTCCAACTGAAATGAAGGAAAGGAGCACAGAACTCCCTACCACCACACACACACGGAGCAGCTCTCTGCAGTGCAGCTCCCACAGAGCAGTTCCCAACAGGTGAGGCCCTGACAAGTGTCTGTACTTCTCCACTTGGAGACTGACCTGAAAAGAATGCGGAATAATTGCCTCAGATACATGTAATCTGGTGCCTCTTCAAAGCGCAGGCCACGACAGTAGTTCAGGTACATGGCAAATTCTGCAGGGAATCCCTGTAAATCAACAGTGTTAATCAAGCCATGGCTTCTAAACAACCCCAGAAGTAGGCAAAAAGATGTATTTCTGCCTCTAATAGCTGTGAATTAATTCCACTTTGCCCCAGTTGTTAACTCATTCTGTGTTTCAGACAGTGGATTGGATCAGGGCCCCAGGTAGACATTCCTGCCCCAAACTGTTACCTGATGCCTGTTCTGCAATCACAACTTCTCTGCTGCCAACACCTTCACCATACAACTTATTTATAAAGCTCTTCCTTCACCCTAATTAAACCTCGTTGTTATTATCTGGGTCTCTAAGATAATAAGTGCTAATTGTCTCTTAAGAGATTCCACTCTTGTTTCCTCGATAATCCACTTGAGCATGCTAGAGGCAAGGTCAGTTACCAGCGTTGAGGGTGGAAACTGAAATCAGGAGAACCTTCAAAGGTTCCCTGTCTTACATGTTTACACCTTTAGTGCCATATTAAAGCCTAACTGTACACAGGGAAATGAATCCAGCACAGAGCTGTACAGAAACACAGGGTGTAACATCCCTGGGAGTATTCCAGGCCAGGCTGGATGGGGCTTGGAGCAACCTGGGCTAGGGGAATGTGTCTCTGCCCACAGCAGGGGGTGGGATGAGATGATCTTTAAGGTCTTTTCCAACCCAAACCAGACTGTGATTCTCTGACCAGTTCAGTTTGGAAGATGCTGTCAGACTAAGGGTTTAGAGATGTGCAATCCTTGGTGCTGTTGATATGTCACAACTACCCCATGTCCTCAAGGGCCTTTGTTAACAAGCATGTGGCTGCCACAGTGCAAGAGAAATCTCAAGACCCAAAGGACAACACTGGAAAAACATCATCCTGCAACATGGATTTAAAGATCACTTGGATCCAACTCCACTTCAGCCTCTGAGGGAGAGAAGACAACACAAACCATTCTGCAGAGGCAGAAACAAGTGTATGTGGCCTAGCCAGACAGCTCTACCTTGGTTTTTTGTTCACTTGTACATGTCAAACTTGCACTGTGGAAGCTGAAGAAATGAATGAGCCTCACCTAAGAGAGCGGGAGAGGCTGCACAGCCAACAGGCAGTGAGACCTGAGTGCTGGTGGCATGCACTCTGCCAGGAAACAGCAGCAAACGCCAGCCCTGTTACACACAGTCACAGTCTTGCTGGGTGGTCAAACACAAGACACCCAGAGCCTGCCAGAGAAGTATTATTCAGCAGCAAATGCCATGTGAGTCTATCTAATAAACTGGCTCTAGCTTGAAACAAAAAAACACCAACAACAAAACAAACAAGAACAGAACTTCCATTTGCCAGTATGACATCACTTGGAACCTCTTACCTTACACAAAACCTCAACAGGAGTGGACATTTTCTTTTCACTAATCTTTTCATACTTTTGCTTCTTTGTTGCAGCCTGTGGAACATGTAGGTCACAACATAAGAGATATTGCGCAACACTGGGTTAACAAGGACAGCAGCAAACAAAAAAAAATGACAAAAATCCTTTGGTCAACCAGAAGTATTTGATGTGAAATCTCCAAGTCCCACACTCTTATTGCAAAGAGAATGAAGGTCAATCTGGTATTAAGGTTTGGACACAGTTTAATACCATTTGTCGCAGTCTAATGCTTCCATCACATGGCACACCTCGTGTAGTTCTAGCTGCTGCTTTTGTCCACTCAACACACCAGACTGGCACTCCCACTGCCAAGGCTGTGTTAATTCCCACTCAGTGCCCCATTCAGGGTGTTTCAGTAAGCCCCTGGTGCATTCATTTGCAGCTGAAGAGTTCCAGGGTCCCACAGGCTGCTGCCTTACAGCTGCAACACCACTGGAGTTACACAACTCCCACAACGAGGAAGAAAAAACAATTAAAACCTGAAAACAACTCCCTGAAATCTAGAGAAGTAAGGAATATTTGCCATGCTGGTGCTTGGCTGCCATACATGGAAACACTGGAACAAGCCTGTTGCAGCTAATAATTACTCAGCCCTGCCATAACCTGCAGTGAAGATACCACTGAGGCTGAACTCGCTAGGCAAGAGATTATTTCCATGCTCTCTCTCATTCCAAAAGCCACTAACAATGTTATTTTCTATTTCCCAAATGGGCTAAGCCTCCACCAGGACAATAATCATTGGCAAAGATGATGTAAGCTATTGTTTAGCATAAGTTTTAAGGCAGTCTAACAACACACATGGTAAGAGGCAGAAAGAACCTTTATTCCACACTATAAATACCATGTGCTTTGGGGAAAAGCTGCTTTGTACAACTGCAGCTAAACATTATATAAAGCCATCTCTGCTGACCAGCAGGCTGAGGCATGATCCCCAAACATGAAAAAAATCACAGGGAGGGGGGAAAAAAGGCACCACAACCTACCTTTAATCCTTGCCAAGGCAGACTGGTTCTGTTAAAGTACATCAATACATAGCCTAGAGACTCCATGTCATCCCGACGACTGCAGGGAGAGGAGAACACAGAGAATTACCCATTCTGCCATTCCACAGTGCAAACATTCCCAATGTAAATAACACAGAGCTAAGGAATAAACCCTAAGCTTTAGTGCTAAGGTCTCTTTCTAAATACAGCCAAGACACCAAGGTGTTCATAATTCCACTGGAAGTCTTCCCAAGTGAAAGATCCTATTAGTTTTCCAATCAAGGAACACTCACTAGGTACTGTGTGCTCAAAGTTTCCATCTGCAGGTACATTAATTTGGGAAAGAAATCTTTGGAAAATGAAAAAAAAAAGATGCCTTTGCTCTCTTCCTATGAGAAGGCTGTTTCAGGGCAGCTGGAGAACTCCAAGGTGATCCATGCACAGACTTCACTGAGAACCTGCACACAAGCTCACAGGAGAGGGCTCAAATGCTTTCTGTACTGCACATGCATCCCACATCCACCCTTCAGCCACAGAAACACCACCACACTTTGCTACACAGCTCTCCTGAGTGCTAACACTGGTACAGTTCACTCAAGTGAGAGAAACTCTCCAGGATTTTTTTCCTCTTGGCAAAGTTGCCTCTTCCCAGCTGTGGTAAAATCAGATTCTTCCTGACTGCCCCCCTGCAGCTGACATCTATTTAACAGGAGACAGCAGAATAACGTACTTTTCTCCTCCCAGCTCCCTTCTGGAGAGAACTTGAGTGTTGCTGCTGCTGTGCCACCTACATCTGCAAGGAAAGGATTTAAGTGGTGGCAGAAAGACTAAGCACTTACTCCAGGGAGGGGAGAGCCACACTGCAAACAGGGTTATGCATCCAGGAGAGGGTGAAACAGCTCCCTGAAGTGAGAACTTGGACAGATCTATCTCCAGATCTTGATATGAGAAGAAAGAAGCTGCTAGTGCTGCTTTATGTCATAACCAACCCAATATAACCACTAATCATCCCCAGAATCACCCTCCACTCCTGTGCCAGCTATCTGATTCTGTGGGGAACAGCTGGAAAGCTATCCCAGCAGAAAATCAGCTTGGCTCCCTAAAGCTTTTACCACAAGCCCCCCCCCAAAGCACTAATGTGCTCAGAGGTCAGGGAAGAGGAGATTAGTTCCCTCCTCTTGACAGCAGCTAGCTCTGAGATCATCTCAGCTGCAACATGAAACCACGAAGGCAGAGGGAGGAAAAATGAGAGTAAGACCACAAAGTCCAGCCAGCAAAAACTTGCTAATTCCATTGGAACTGCAGATTTTAATCACCCACAGGATTCAGTGAACCTGTCTGGGGCCATGACATAAAATGATGTTCGCAATAAAGGGATTAACAGTCTCCATTCCCCATTGTTTTAATGTTTATGTCGTGATTTTGTAGTAGGAAAGATTCAGTTCTGTCAATCTGTAACGGATACATCACATTTGAGCATATAAAAGTGATTTTCAGGATTTGGGGAACAGGACAATATTCTCCACTACTAAACCAAGACATGGGTAACATTGCCAACAGCTCCTTGAGCACAGCTGTCATTACCTATAGGAAAACATGTTCCAGAACAGATAAAAGTACAGGAGTAATGGCTGAAATATTCTGCCATAAGCTTCAGAACTGGTTTCTCTTGATTATAGGAAAGTATTCCTTGTTTGCCTCACTCTTGGCTTGAACTAGACAATTTAGCAGCTTCAGCATGCACAGAGCTACATCTCTAATTATAATCTAACTCCCATTACCAGCAGATATGGTGTAAGACCTCCAACTAAACTCAAAAGCAACAGCCCTTTGCAGGTCCCTCTTTCACTCTCAGCACAGCTATTCCCATACCAGAACACTCTGGGATGTAAGAAATGTGATTCCTTCAGGAATGACACCTGTCATTTACCCTCCCTGACCCACATGTCAAATAGGCTTAAATAATGACACTGACAGGCAATAAAATACCCCTAAGGAACCTCATGGAAATTAAAGCAAAGAGGAAACCTGGAGCATTCTAGAGCACCAACTATTTGTGAATTACATGTTCTGTTGAAGTTGACCACTAGAAATTCTGCCATTCCCACCTTGATTAAAAGGAAGGTCAGAGCCACAGACATTCATGGAAGTTTTAACTATCCAAGAGCCCTCAGTGTCATGTGGCAAATCCATACTATTACACTTGTGCATCAGGATATTCAGGCACACAGGTGAGGAAGAGAACAGAGGCATCACCACTTTGTATCTCACTTGCAAACAACCTGCAGTGCTCTCCTCACTGGCAGGAAACACTGTAGGAGCACTTATGTTTTTGATCCAGATGATAAAAATGTGTTTGTTGATTAAGCAAAGCTCAAACATACAAACATATCCACATGTGTACTATAAGACACGTGACTGACTACACCAGAAACTAAAGCACAGTGTGAGTGAAGGGTAAGATATTTAAGTCTCGCCTGCAGGCAAAAGAAGAAACAATAGTTTATTAGCTTGAAGAGAGTGAGAAAACAGGACACAGACACAGCTTGAGAACACCTTTTCTGGTTACAGGAAGGCACCTCAAGCCAGTCAGCAGTGGTCTCAACAGGTACCAACACATCAGCAACATTTTTTATTTTCTATTCCATTTGGGAAGCTCCTCTGACAGATCCACATCAAAGCATGGCTTAGCCTTGAAAACAGCCCTAACTGCATGCAGAACAGCCACCTCATGTCTGTGAGACTTACAGTCTGTTCAAGAGGCAAATGAGGTGCTTGGATTTTCCCCCCACCCTTGCACAAAGAGGAGAATTTGCAAAGGGATGGACACAGTTATGCACCCAGAATGAGTTCAGACACTCAGAGTTTACCCAGATGCCCCTGGACTCACCTCTGCTCAATGCCAAGGTGTGCATTGATACTGGCATACCGAGCTGTGCCAGTGAGGTTTTTGTCTTCTCTGTAGGGTATGTGTTGCCTTGTCCTGTTGTCTCGGTACTTTTTGGCCAAACCAAAGTCAATAAGGAATAACTTAAAAGAAAAATGAAAATAGGTTAGATTTCTATACAATGCAAGGAATTCCCAATTTCTTTCACTTAGGCATTAGCTACATTTTAAGACACCCAGACAGCGCAACAGCCTCTAGTTAAAAGAAGCAAAGTAAAGCTTGAACTAGTCAGTTAAAAACAGAGAATTAGTTGAAGCCTTTCCTCAATCCACTGGGAGAGATTAGATTGTCCTACGACTATTTGATATAACTCTTGTAGTTCCTACCCCATGAGCTCAGTGCACGGCTGAGGGAGGAAGGAGCACGTGTGAGAGCACAGCACAAACCCCACTGGCACTGCAGCAGGTCTCACACACACACACACACACACAGAGTTAATGGCAGCTCAGCAGCTTAATGCAAATGATGCACACCCTGCAATCTTCTGTCCCCAAGAGCAGTGCCCATTCTGCACAGCACAAGGCCCAAAACTTCAACTGCAAACAAGACATTTTGCTGGCAGCTCTTTCTGAGACTCCTAGAACGCCCTCACAGCAGTGTGACCAACTCAAGGATGATATTAGTTCAGCCAGAAAGCTGGAGCCTATAATGGGATCCAATTTGGGTTTCTAATAACCAATCTTGCCCAATGATTTGACATGTAGCAACACCTGAGTGTGTGTCAATCTGTGTGCTAACAGCCAGCCCACTGTAAAGGTTCATCCTGACTGTGCCTTCTCATGAAGAGACTTCAGGACTGGGCAAAAAAAGCTGAGGCAGAAGTACATGAAGAACATCCCAAATTCTACCAATTAGTCTTCAAGCTACAAATCATCAGCTCCTGATTTCAACACTGGATTAATGCAACAGGATCAAATACTACAACCCCTACAGATTCACAAATGCTGCACAAGTAGCTTTGGTAAAGAAAGCATGTGATGGAAAGAAGACATTTAAGGTAAAGCCTCAGTAAAAACCAACTCAGTATCACTTAAAGCTGATTCCAGGCCAGAAGATGCAGCTTGGAAGCAAACTGGAGCTGATCTGCAGGTACACTGCATGCAAGACTGAAACAAGGGCTCACTCTGGCACACTCAAGTGCTGTGAATTATGAAGTGACACTTGCCAAGTGTCCAAGACACTGAAAGTCTCTGAACTGCGCAGCAGCTGTTTCAGAATTCTGGTTGAAGATGATTTTCTAACTATAGTAAGTCTAGACAGGAAAAAAGCAAAGCTAAAAACCTCTTAAACTGCTGGTGCTGGAGCAAAAAAACCTGGGGTTGAAGTCTTGCCATGGTTTCTATGCAGCCACAAAGCACAGCAGATCTGCATTTGCTATTCTGCTGAAAGTCACTCAAAGCTCTGAGCAAGAGGACAAAACCCCAAATACACTGCTCAGCCAGTTCAGAGGGGAGGTCTTGGCTTTGCTGCACCTGCCACTGCTAACACTCCAGGTACTCAGTGAACCTGGACATGTTCCCTGGCTACCAGGAAATCACTGGCTATACCAGGAAACATCTGATACTCAACTCCCAGAGCACACACTATAAAGCTTTATGTGATTACTACACTGCAAACGCAACTTTCCTAGAAGCAAAACCTGAGCTCAGATACAATCCCTAATTTCCTGGTGAAAGCCTCTGACGAGGAGTTTGCTGCTTCTGTAGGGCCTTTACCCCTTAGATTAACCAAAATCCTGTGCCTTGAGAAGGGAAAAAACCAAACCTGTACACATCAGAGTATTTTCACGGCACCTTTAGTTACAAACACTCGAAACAACTCAAAGTTTTCATGTGCTTTCTGCAAGCCAGGGGATCTTGCTGCTAATTAACGCATGAAGGGACAAAGCCACAGTTCATGGATCACAAGGGTTAAAACAAAGTGTGTCTCTAACACACAAACAGGTGTCTAGCCCTGTGAGATTACTTTCTTCCAAGGAGTTATAAATGATGCTCTGCTTCTTCCACAGCGGCTACAAGCTCTTGATACTGGACTGGAAACAGGTTATTCTGCATTTTTTCCAAGAGATATGGGTAGAACCTCTTAAAAACAAGGAATCAATTCCCCAACACAGACCTGTTTTGTGCTAGTCAAATAACTGGGTATTGTTTTACAGCACGGATTTCCCTGGGGAGGTTTACTCTGTTCCCAAGCTCAGGACCAGTCTGTATTTCCCTCTGGATGGGTGGAGGGCAAAGGAGTAAGTCTTGCAAAGAATGGAGTGGGAAGACACAGCCTAACATGGATGAGCACAGTGTCCCAATGCCAGCAGGAAGAGACATTCCCACAGATAACCTCATCCCACCTTCACTCTGTTTGTTGCACTA